GGAAGATGGAAGGCAATAGAGGAGGAAAGAGACAACAACCCAGCGATGCTTCCAAAGCACCGAAAAAATATCTGGCACGGAAAATTCCCCAAAGAAATATGAAAATCTTACGAGCCCCAAAAATGGCCCCAGGTTCCCAATAGCAACGAAATTGATGATGGTGTGGAAGAAGCATCTCAACTTTCCATGTCGGGCCCCGGTGGATGATGTACCTATGGGAGTTAGATATTCGCACAGGATGCGTCTGGGATAAGCACATATCTCATTGCCATTGCATTTTTCGCTATTGGATCCTCCAGCTAGACTGGTCAACACATCAAAAGAAGTGGCTTGAGCCAATTTGATTTTTTTATGGGCAGTGAGATCACTGAAGGGCCGAAAGCGTTATAAGGTTAGATTGGGTGGTTCGTCCCCTCCTACCACCAGCATGGCGCTGGTGGTGATCGAGCTCTTTTGCCCCAGTGGCCTAACAGCTTTATCAGCCAAAATGACGTCTTGGTATCCCTCCGATCCGGACTGGGCGGCTTTTGTTCTTTTTGGCTTCCTCAATCCGTTGGATCCATTCCCAGAGTTGGGTTTTCATCGAGTCATCCTTGCCTCGGGTTGCGAAGCCAGCTTGCCATCGCCTTCGGCTCCAGTTGCAGTCAGCTTCCGTAAATCATCGGTACGAGTATGGTCCGGCGATAGGGGTGTGATTGGCAACTTCTTATAGGTAGTCCGTATCTCCGCCGGCTATCAACTGTACTCCTGCAAACTTATCTGCATATCTAATTCCTTACTTCCTTCTTGAATGAAGTCTGAATTCAAATGCGAAAGAATTGGAGTAGCTGAATATCAGACCTGCACATTTGCCTGTGGTATGATGCTCATACGAGTTTGCTCGCCAAAAGTAAGTTAATAAAGATAGTGAAAATGAATGAACGGATCCAAAAACTGCTTTAAATAGCATCATACACATAGCACGGCATGATCCAGATCGAAATGAACTCCCATAATACACTCTTTGCATGCAGATCCCAAAATATCTGTGGGTGATTTCACCCCGAGATAATGACAAACCAGTGTCAGGTAGTTGGAATATCCCTTTAGATCCTGTTCTATGCATGTCGTTATGGCTTAACAGTTCGTGGTCAAAGAATGTCTAGCGACTCATATCAACTATATATGTATCTACACATGGGTTTCCATGTTAAGTTATCTTAATGACGTTTTTCTTCGCCACAAGAATTCCAACCAAGCAGACAATATAGAAATGAGATCGGTCACACATACATAGTGTGGACTATGGGCACGTTCCCCCTGAAAATCTTCAGCACCATCCAGCACATCCAGGCACAATGGATTAGGACACCAGAGCAGAGCATCAGGGTCAAGGTAGTAGAGGTGACAATCTTGGACATATCTTCAAAGATGGTCAGATCATGAAAAGGAGTATATCTGTGTGGAGTGTGGCAGCTGACTATCTCCAAGACAGAAGAGACACTGAGTTCCCGGACATGAGAGGGAAAAGATGTCTGCATAAATGATCTCATTGAATGCAATATCAACTTCAGAGTCAGCAGATGAAGCAGGCTCTTCTCTTGCACAACTCCCCATGTAAGCCACAGAGTGAAACCCAATTCTGGATTCATTGCACTCAGCAGATGCAAAACTTGTACTGGTCTTTGATTTGAGAGTCTGATGAGTAAAAGAGATTCTGAGTAAGTCATATCTACTTCTCAAATACAATTTGAATCTTGTTCTCACCATCATTCATCTTGAGCTTCTTACTATTTAATAATAGACAATTCTAAAAGTTCTCTTCCAATCTTGATGATGTCAATTGTTGCAAAGAACTTCTGTCTCATTTCCTCAACCATATTATAATGAAGTATCTGTTTCTTGACTCTGATAATATCTCCAAGCGCTGACCGTCAAGGCCTTTTCCTTTGGTAGGGTTGATACATTCTTTTGCTTTGGATTTCCTACATATTTTAGTTCATATAACACGAAGTATATGCACCCACCATCTGTGACTCTTGAGTGTGATTAGGTACGGTTATCCATATCTTCGAGTTAAATATTCTTTATTTTAATTGAATTTGAGCGTAGGGCAGTGAGAGGAAGAAAAACACTCAGATCCTAATTCTTTATTAATTCTCAATTCCAATTCCGATTTTTCTTTAATTCATCTCTGATTCTACCAAAGTATTTATATTGGAGTCATTGCAGCTAAATATTTAATGGGAATGCTAGAGATTTTGCCAAGACTAGCACTTGTTTGAACCAACGTCGGAGCATCAACAAAGATCAAGCACGACGACGGAGACGGCGGCGACGGCGACGACCTCGACGCTCTCTTCCCGCTATTCCCTGCCAGCCCTCCCACAACATATCCTTCTCGTCCGTGCCAACCAACAATGACGACTGCTGGTGCTTCTCCCTCGAGCTCGCCTCGATTACCCAGTCCGCCGCCGTTCACTGAGGTGCAGATTGGGCCCCAATCTCCTACTGTTGGCGAAACGTTCGGGGCTACCAGCGAAGAGATCCTGGGGTTTGCCTCATGAGCCTGACGATGCGTCCATGAGGAGAATACGACCGGGAAACAAAATCTGCGGATATGTCGGCGGGGGCCTCCCCTAGTTCCCCTCTCTCAAGTTGGGTCCATCCCAACATGTCTGTCTTCTCCGTGGCTGGCGCTAAACCATTGTCGCGATCCAGCTCGATTCCCCATTTCAATTACAGGAGCACCTTAAAGCGTTATATCAGCACTACACCAGGCCTACCGACTCCTCGACTCTAAATCCCATAACCCGTGACATTGCGCGGGATCTCGCAGAGCCTCCGGAGGGAGTAGAACGGTCGCTATGGCTGTATGAGCTCTGTCGATTCCTCACCATGAAAGCGAACAACCTCATTGTCGCTTTTTTTGCGGAAGATCCTCCTTGTTCTGCTCAAACATGCCCCGAAATGCGTGCATCCGAATGGCAATACTTATGTGCCGTCCACGATCCTCCAAAATCATGTTGTGCTATTGATTACTGCTGTCACACTCTTGACTGGGCTGCGAATATCTTGACATCTCCAAAATACTTCCCGAGCAGATTGACTCTTGGCTCGGAGTCATCCGGGGGACCCCAAACGAGCATGAAGCATCTTACCAACATTTTCCGCCGTGTTTATCGGATATTTGCCCATGCATGGTTCCAACATCGTGAGGTATTTTGGCAGGTTGAAGGTCACGACGGTCTGTATATTTTCTTTAAGACGGTCTGCGACGTCTATAATCTCATTCCAGAGGACAACTATACGGTCCCAAAAGAAGCAGAAGGACTCCAGCCACCCAGCAAGCCAGACCCGGAGCATGACTCCAATAAACGAATGACCATTATGCGGAAAGAATCAGAAACTCGAGCAGAGAAGCCAGCTCCAGACGAACAGTCAGAGCAGACCATGTTAAATGTTGCAGCTACCACCAGGCGGCATAAAGCTACTCCCTCAGTCGGGGCCATTGTTCCGACTATCACAGAAGCAGCAGAAGACGACGACGACGACGACACAAACAAAAATAGGCAGCTACCTGATGAGGAAGACTCTGATTTAAAACTCCCCGATCCTTCAGTTTCTGAAACAAAACCCGGCCAATTGTCAGTCCCATCCATAGAAGCTCCCGCGAATGACGAAAACTTGACTGAAAGACGCGCACCTGACGATGATGGGATGGAGAAGTCGGGAGCAATCACACCGCCACCGGTCGAGCCAACATCAGAGAGCGATTCACAAGAGCAGAGCGAAAAACCCAATGACTCTCCCAAACAGGAAGAATCGAATGATTCCCCCGTAAACAATGAAATAGACGTCTTCGAACCAGATACTCCAGTTGACGATTCGAAAGCTAGCGAGGTAGATTTGCCAAAAGAAAACCCAACAATTCCCGAATCAGAAACGCCGAAACCAGAAAACGACCCCTCTGATGAGATTACTGATATTGACCCTGTTAGTCCCGATCTCCCGGGAAGTCCTGGAAGCCCTGGAGCCCCTACTACCGCAATTGAAGTCAAAGCTGCTGACTCGGACAAACCTTTCTGAACTTGTCTCCCGTCTCAGCATGCTACGATTGATAATTCGCCTTTTTCCCCTATTTTTCATTCTGTTTAAAAACATCTGCTTCTTCCTCAGGAAACTTTTCAGCGCTCTTTATCCAGAATATCTATTTATAATCCGCTTTAATGTGTGTACATGATATACCGTATGTCGATGTATGTCTTAGGCGTCTTTTATTCTCTCATTTTATTCCTGGTTCGCGCTTACATACTTCTTTCTGGGCCGCTATCTATTCTCAAATGAGGAATTCCGGGGCTCCCCTTCCTGTTCGATTCTCTACCCCCTTTACTTTTCTATTAAGCGCAAATCGCTTTTATTCTACTGAAGAAAATTGATTGTGGCGCTAGAATGTACCGGATATATGTATATGGCAGTATAATTGGATAGATACCCTTGCCAACTCACCTACGGTTATTTTCATTTTGTTATCGAAAGATGTCTTTTTTTCTGTTTCTTTTCCTCTCCGTATTGGAAAATGTCTGGGGGACGAACAATTACGATTTCAACCTTTTAACCATCTAAGCACCGATTCTTTCGGCCACTGCATGTATAGGTGATTTCTGGACGGCGTAACACCGTTCAATATATTGGATTTAGACTGACATAGGGAGACATGAAGGCGAGATTTTATGCTCGGTACATGTGTGTGTAATACAGTAGGGCAAACCTGGTTCGACAGAATCTGTCTAGCAGTAGGTAGACGGATTCAACAGAACTGAAGTTGGAGAGGCCTGGTTCTGCCTCTAGCTGTTACTCTATATCGCGTCAACAGCAATATAAATAACGATGCATGGTGGCACGCTATGAGCCATTGTTGAATATGCGTCACAGCCGATATGTCCAGAAGTCGCAATAGAATCTTCCGATAGCCGATAGCTCGGAGCGACAGGTTGTGGTTCTGGGC